TTATGGGTGAGCCGATACCCTGTCCCATTTTATCTCAAATAATCTTAGAAGCTTTGTAGACAAAGGTTCATTTTGTACAGTATGTCAGAGACCTATGTATGTTCTAGTTACAGAGTGGTTCGCTCGGGCCAGTACGACACCAGGTACCAGCCATGCCTCCCCAGGTTCGGGGCGTGACAATCACATTCAGGCAAAAGTAACGAAGTAAGTAGCTTATGTGATGGGTTATGCAATCGTATAACAACTATGCGGTCTGCAAACCCATCGCATATTTGCATAACCCAGAAGGCAAAAATGATTATGCAATCACGAAACCGACTGCATATTTGGTTATACGACCGCAAAGTGGTCGCATTTCCTCTTACCAGATGGGCAAATGGACTGCCTTTATTTGCGGCACGTATGCAGACCGCATAAGTGGTTTGCGACTGCAAACCTGATCGCATAATCTTTTTGCAGTAGACCACCGAGGGGTCTTTTTACGACGACCTTGCGGACCACAAACAAATTATGCGACCCGCAAAGATTGTCTTCCTCATTTTAAACGTGCTTTTTCACTCAATATTCATACCTCACTCACATGTTATTCACACCAAATGTAAATCACACTCACATGCTTTCCTAAGATTACCTATGTAGATTCCCCCATTGTGGTTATAGGCCAAATAGTCGATTTAAGATAAGAGGGGTACTCAGACTTCCCCCATTTCGTTTCATCAACAATAACACACAGTCACTCAACCAAATCCTCACCATGAGGTTAATCGTAATCAGAGGGAATAAGGGACCAGGAAACGACCATGGAGCTCAGAATTTAGGAAGAAACATGAATCATAATTACGAGAGAGGGGGGAGAATCATACTAGAAGGTTGAGCACGATTATGCAAGTCCGATATGATTCGTGTGGGTGTGTGATTCCTTGCTTGGTGAGTAATTTTCTATTAGATATTTTCTCTTTTCTAACCTTGCTTGTATTTTTTTTTGTTCTTTTGATTTTGATTCAGTGTTAGTGTGTGATAAGAGTGAGGATGCAGTAGGTTAGGGTTTTTTTATACCTGTATGGTTTGCGGCGAGTAAGTCCATCACATAACACATTATGTGATCGCATATGTGTTGTGCGATGGACTAGTGGCTGGGCTACCCAAACATACTTTACGATGCATTCTGCGATCGTAAAGTTGGTATGCGGGCTGCAGAACTGTAAAGCCTACCGCATTCTTGAATGCCAAATTGGCCAATTTATCTGCCTGTGTCTGCGATGACTATGCGGTTCGCATAGTAATTATGCGACCGCTAGTTGTTGCAAACTCTGGAGTTTTCTTTCCTTCATTTTCCTCAGCACTAGCACCCTATTCATGATATTTTGGACTACCTGCACTCTAACATACACGTCAACCTGCTCAATACTATCAACTAAACTAAATAAATGAAAAACTAACAAAAGAGTGTTACCACACATGGGTTGCCTCCCATGAAGCGCTTGATTTAACGTCGCGGCGTGACGCAGTTGATCCCATTTGGGCTATTCATTTGTGGGGAATGCTATTGGACTATCCTTTAGAGTGAATTGTTCTATCAAATACCTTTCTCCTGTGGTACTGAAATAATGCTTGACTCGTTGACCATTCACTTTGAAAGTTCGAGTTCCATCCTCCGACTCAAGTTCAATAGCACCATAGGGGGACACACTCACAACTTTGAACGGGCCAGACCATTTGGACTTGAGTTTTCCCAGAAATAACTTGAGTCTTGAATCGAAGAGTAAGACCGAATCACCGGAATTTCATTCCCGCTTCAAGATATTCTTATCATGGACAAACTTCATTCTCTCCTTGTACATGGCTGCACTCTCATAGGCATGGAGACGGAATTCCTCCATCTCATTGAGTTGTGTCATTCTTAGATTAGCAGCCTCGGCCCAATCATGGTTCAACATCTTCAATGCCCATATGGTTTTGTGTTCAAGCTCCATTGACAAGTGACACGCTTTGCCAAAAACCAACCGGTACGGTGAAGTGCCAATGGGAGTTTTAAATACTGTGCGATAATGCCCACAACGCATCATCTAGCTTCCTTGACCAGTCGATCCTGTTTGCATTGACAGTTTTTGCTAGGATGTTTTTGATTTCCCTGTTAGAAACGTCAACCTGACCACTCGACTGAGGATGGTAGGGTGTGGCCACCTTGTGCTTTACGCCATACTTTTCAAGCAGCCCGGCGAAAGCCTTGTTGTAAAAATGAGAACCACCATCACTCAAGATGACACTTGGGGTACCAAACCGCGTTAATATGTTCTTCTTCAAGAATGCGGTCACACTTCTTGCTTCATTGTTAGGCAAGGAGATTGCCTCGACCCATTTGGAGACATAGTCCACAACTACCAAGATGGTCATGCCATAAGAGCTCACAAAAGGGCCCATAACGTCTATCCACCACACATCAAATATCTCGACCTGCAGTACATAATTCATAGGCATCTCAAGTCTTTTAGATATTGACCCTTGTCTTTGACATTGATCGCATTCCTTGACTATTTGATTTGCGTCTTGGTAGATCAATGGCCAATAGTAGCCACATTCAAGCACCTTCGCAGCTGTCCGGTTTCCTCCACGATGACCCCCAACCGGAGAATCATGGCATGCTTTGAGAATTGGCATTACCTCATCTCCGAAACACACTGCCGAATGATGTTGTTGGCACAAATTCGGAACAAAAAGGGTTCCTCCCTAGTAGTATTGCCTACATTCCCGCGAGAACTTTTTCTTTTGATAAGTCTCCAATCCATCGGGAATAAGATCACTAACCAAGAAGTTAGCAATGATAGCATACCAAGGAGCGAATGTGCTAGACAATGCCAATATGTGCTCATCTGGAAAGGTATCATTGATCTCAAGGTCTTCTTTTGGTCTCCCTGCCTCTTCAAGCCTAGATAGGTGATCCGCAACTTGATTTTCTATCTTTCTGATCCTTGACTTCGAAGTCAAAATCTTGCAACAAAAGGACCCACCAAATAAATCTTGGTTTGGCATCCTTCTTCGCCAAAAGATAGCGAATAGCAGCATGTTCGGTGTAAACTATCACTTTGGACCCCAACAAATAAGCCTAAAACTTTTCAAAAGCGTAGAAAATGGCGAGAAGTTCTTGCTTAGTCATAGTGTAATTCATTTGAGCGCCATTGAGTGTCTTGCTTGCATAGTAGACTGGGTGAAGGATCTTGTTATGACTTTGACCAAGCACCGCCCCGATTGCTACACCACTAGCGTCACACATGAGTTCGAATGGAAGAGACCAATCGGGTGTGACAACAATATGTGTCGTGGTGAGATTTTCTTTAAATTCCTCAAAAGCCTTTAGACACTTCTCATCAAATAAAAACTTTGCATCTTTTTCAAGGAGCTTGCACATGGGATTTGCAATTTTTGAGAAGTCCTTGATAAAATGCCTATAGAAACCGGCGTGTCCCAAAAAGCTTCGAACACCTTTTACGGAAGTGGGTGGAGAAAGCTTGGAAATGATTTCGATCTTTGCTCGGTCAACCTCTATGCCTTACTTGGAAATTTTGTGGCCAATCAATTCCCTCGTCCACCATGAAGTGGCATTTCTCCCAGTTTAGCATAAGGTTTATTTCTTCACATCTTTTGAGCACTTGTCTAAGGTTATCAAGACAATGCTCAAAGGAATCACCCACTACAGAGAAGTCATCCATAAACACCTCTAAGAAATCTTCCACCATGTCCGAGAAGATTGACATCATGCACCGTTGGAAACTAGCCGGAGCGTTGCATAGCCCAAATGGCATACGGCTAAAAGCAAAAGTCCCATATGGGCATGTGAATGTCGTCTTCTCTTAATCTTCCAAGGCAATGTTGATTTGGTTATAGACGGAATATCCATCCAAGAAGCAATAGAATGACCTTCCTACTAGCCGATCAAGCAATTGATCAATAAAAGGAATAGGGAAATGGTCTTTGCAAGTCGCACTATTTAGCTTCCGGTAATCCATGAAACTCTCCATCCGGTCACTATTCTCGTTGGGATGAGCTCATTTTTGTCGTTTTGAATCACGGTCATGCCTCCTTTCTTTGGCACACACTGCACCGTACTCACCCAAGAACTATCGGCAATGGGGTAGACCACCTCAACATCTAACTAGTTGATGATTTCTTTCTTTACCGCCTCTTGCATACAAGGATTTAACCTTCTTTGATGCTCCATACTTGGTTTGCTCTCTTGCCCAATTGTATCTTATGTTCACCAGTTCCGGCAGGAATCCCTCGGATGTCTGCTATTGTCAACCCAATAGCTTGACTATGCTCCCTCAAGACATTCAACAGTTGTTCTACCTGTACATCATTCAACAAAGAAGAAACGATTACCGGTAGAGTGTCATTAGAGCCAAGAAATTTATACTCAAGTGCGGTGGAAGTGGCTTGAGTTAAACCTGCGGCGGCTCAATAATTCAAGGCTTGGCGGGAGGAGTGACTCTATTCTCTAAGTCAAGAGAAAGTTTCTTTGGAGCATAAGTGTAGGATTCACCGATTCCATGTACCCCTCCATGTCTTCACCTTCAAAATTTACCAAAATAGCCGCCAACGCCTCACCAAGGCATTGTTCTTCCATCTTCATCTCAATTGCGTCTTCTACCTCATCAACAACATCAATGACTGAGATGCTTTCATATCCATGTGGCAACTTCATACCGTGCTCGCTTGGAATGTAACCTCTTCGTTATTAACTCGAAACTTGATCTCATTCCGTTCCGAATCCATAAGTGCTCTTCTGGTAGCACGAAATGGTCTCCCCAAGATGATAGGGACCTCTTTGTCAACAGCACAATCAAGGATCACAAAGTCGTCGGGGAGGAGGAACTTTCCCACTTTCACAAGAACATCATCAACAATTCTCACCGGTCTCTTTATTGAACGATCGGCCATTTGCAACCTCATACTTGTAGGCCTCGGCATACCTAACCCCGCTTGCTTGTAAATAGCAAGAGGCATTAAATTGATGGTATCCCCAATATCACAAGAGCTCTTGCAAAATCGCGCGGCCCAACAGTGCATGGAATGGTAAAAGCTCCCGGGTCTTCTTTCTTTTGAATGGTGGTTGTTGCAATGATGGAACTAACCTGGTGAGTTACATTCACCACTTCATTCTTGGTGGTTTTCTTCCTGGTGATCAAGTCTTTCAAATACTTAGCAAAACCCGGCATCTGTTGAAATGCTTCCACAAACGGAATATTTACCGATAATTTCTTGAGAATGTCATAGAACTTCTCGAGTTTGCTATAATCAACCCTCCTAGAAAGCCTTTGAGGGAAAAGAGGAGGAGGTCTAGGAATTGGTGCTAGAGTTTTTGGCATCTCTTTCACCTTTTCCTTATCCTCTTCCCGGTTCACTTCTTGAATTTTAAACTCTTCCGGGACCTTTTTAGCTTCAACAACAATTGGCACTTCAACTTGTGCCTTAACCTCTTGTTCGAAATCTTCTACTTCAACCACTTGTTCATTCTCTCCTTGAAGTACATTCCCACTCCGACATGCTCGGTCATATTCCTCATTGAAGTGTCGGACCTGTCTTGATTTTGCAATACTTGCTCAAGCATGTTTTCCAACTTGGAATCACTTGAAGAACCTTCCTTTCAATGTGGAGAGTTGGAATATTTCCCTTTCAGTGGAACATAAGGGTTTGAACTCTGATTTGAAAAGTTGTTGTTGTTGTTACTCCAATTCCCTTGATTTGAACTACCTTGGTTATTTCGCCACTGTTGGTTGCCTTGCCCTTGCAGGTTAGGCCTCCATTGGTTTTGTTGTCCTGAACCTTGGTACTGTTGCCTTTGATAACCTCCTTGAGAGTTGTTGACATAATTTGCTTCCTCATAATCTTCATTTGATGTGGGTTGAACATTTTCCACCACATACATCTTTTTTGTTTGGCTTTCAGTAAACATCTTTGTCAACACATTGACGTTGGTGGCAAGCCCGGCGATTGCTTGATCTCTTTGTTGATTCTCCTTAATCATGTTGTTCAAGGAAGGAGTACCATAGGCAATTCCACCCGTGGTTTCCTCTGAGTGCCAAGCTTTTTTATGTTTTGCCATTTTATCAAGGATTTGTGTGATCCTCGCAAATGTTTTATCCATAAAAGATCCATCAGCTGCATTCTTGGCTATAGATTGGTTCATAGCATCCAAGCCCATGTAGAATTTCTCCAACAAGATAGAATCCGGAAAACCATGATTCGGCGACCTCACCAAATATAACTTGAATCGATCCCATGCCTCATGTAGATGTTCTCCCGGTAATTGCTTGAAAAAGAAAATTTTATCCCGTAGCTCAGATTTCTTACTTTGCGGGAACCATTTAGCTAGGAATGCTCAGACAAGTTTAGGCCAAGAATGGATGGAATTTGGTGGTAGATTTTTAATCCATTTCCTCGCCTCTCCAGTCAGTGAGTACTTGAACACCCTCAATCTTAGGGCATCATCTGAGACGTTATTCTGCTTATGCATCGCACACACACCCAAGAAGTTTCTGAGATGTTGTGCCGGATCATCATCGGTGGAATTTCTGAAAACCCCCTCTACTTTGAGCATTAGGATTAAACCGTGTTCCACCTTGAAAGTGGCAGCGTCAACTCTCGGAGGTACAATAGCATTTATATCCTCAATGTACTCATCTATGTCTGCAAAAGGATTCTCTTCTTCGTCATATTCGGTCTATATTTTCCTATCAACACCAAGCAAAACAAGCAAAGTGTGATGGAATAGAAGAAGACGTAAAGTAAAGCACACACTAATTAGTAATTTCAAAACCGTATTTCCCGGCAACGACGCCAAAATTTGCTACTCTCAAATTACACTTTAATTAAATAGTGTAAGGCGGTCAGTGTCAAATATAATAACTGAACAAGGTTGGGGTCGAATCCTACAGGGAATATGGGTGAAAAGGTTACTTGAGTAGTGTGAAACTTGAATTAAGTCGTAATTCTATTCCTTTAGCTTAACAAAAGAATGATGTAATTGTGACTTGATAAGATAAGTAGTTTTGTTATGAGAATGTGATTAATTTGATTAAGTAAACCAAGGTTGTGTCCGCATCAATGAAATGTAATGCTATCGGTGTTAATATGATATATTTCTAATAGAAGGTCCTTGTGATATGCAAATGGTTTCGAAATGACTACCCAATATTTCCAGTAGTTGGGTAGTATTTTCTCTTTATGATTTTCCCAAATATTATAGAGTTGCAATTAAGAACAACCAATTTATGCCAAGTAGAACACACTTATTCCTAAACGATTCTATTAAACAAGGTTTAGAGTCTTGAGTTCTTGATATTCACTTCTATCAAACCCTAACCCAGTTTTCCAAGTAAAGAAAGAGTAAAATGGAATATGTTAATCTTTGCAACCACTAACAATAAATAAAGTACAAGAGAGGAATAAAGCAAAGTAATATTCAGTGTCAAACACCCATTTACATTACACCCATTTAGGGTCCACAACCTTAGTATTTAAAACTAGTTACTCATACTGAAATACAAAAGCAAAGTAATAATAAAGAAATAATGCTTACAAAAGTGCAAGATTCTCTCTTCACAAGCTTCCATATTAATGGAGTATTCAATGCCTTCAATGTAGGCCCTTTTTCAAACTTAATGACCCACAAAAACCCTAGTTATTCTATTTATAGTGGACTAAAAGTGGGGGTCAAAATTGGACAAAAATGCCCCTGTAGACAACTTCTGCAACCGCATAATGGTCGCAGACCATGTATGCGGTCCGCATAATCTTCATTTGCGTCGCAGATTTGTAGATCATCAGTCCCAGAAGTCCACAACACATGAATTAGCGGTCCGCATATCTGTTATGCGACCGCATCTTCCCATCGCAGAAGTGTTGAGCAGCTATCCCAATTGCAATTGTGCGGTCACTATGCAACTCACAAAAGTGTTATGCGACCGCATAATGGACCGCATATTCTTTTCTTCATTTGGCCAAGAACTCTTCTTCAGTTTGCGGTTATTATGCGGTCCGCATTTGACTTCTGCGGTCGCATACTTGAAACATTTCTGTCATTTTGTGAATTTTTGACATATTTTCCATGTTTTTGGGTCTTCAAGTTTCATGAACTACAAAACAACAAAACTTGATAAGAATTAACTAAAGATGCATTAAAAGATTAGCCAAAATCTAAGTAATTGGTATCAAAAGTGCCGAAATTCTACGACACATCAGTAGAGCTTGTTCAGACTTATGTAGTGTGTAGATGCGATGTTCGGGTCTTGTAGTAAATCTTGGATATTGGAAATTGGATTCTACGATTTACGGATTAAGGTTGAGGTAATGATCTTCAGTTATATTGTGTAGTCTAGCCTATATGGAATAGGGTGACGTGGGATTAACCCTAGGTATGTGCATGGAAAGGTTACACGGTGGCTTGACGGTTTAGGAATAACTCTCGGCACGTTCGAGGAAGAACGTATGTTTAAGTGGGGGAGAATGTAATGACCCGAACGGTCATTTTGAGCATTTGCATTTCGCTCGGTAGTTTGGGGCACGAGTAGCTCCTATGATGTATTAGGACTTGTGTGCAAAATTTGAGTTCATTCCAAGTTGATTTGATATGTTTCGGCGTGAGTTTTTGAAAGTCGAAAGTTTGAAAAGTTCATTGCGTTTGATTTGATGTTGGGATGCATGACTTGAGGCCTAGAGTAAGTCCGTGTTATGTTATGGGAATTTTTGGTGTGTTCGTACGGGGTCCCGAGGGGCTCGGGTGAGTTTCAGTTAGGTTTGGGTTGTGTTGCGCTTGTTTTTCTTTTGTTTTGACGTCTTTTCTTCAAGCATAAATGGTACCACATTGAACAAATAAGCCCCGATATATATTTTTATTGAAGCATTAGATTCGTATCGTATGAGGATTTTATGTTCATTTTACTAAGAATTGGGTGGTCAGGTTTTTCAGATTAATTACGAAATTATCACTAACTTCGTATTTAAAAATCTGCACTATTTTCAAATATTGAAACCAACATATCTCCTTCATTATAAGGTCAAATGGAGTGATTCAAAAGTCTAATTTGACTGAAATTTCGTAAAGAATCCATTGGAGGCATCAAAAGCGAGTTAGGAGAATGTTTGGCACGCAAAACGAGGCGGAATAGCTGGAAAAAAATAGATAATATTGAAGGTTTGTTCATTTGGTCATATATTGAGTTGGGAAACTCGGATTTGGACAAATTTTGGAAGCGATTTTCACCATATGGATTGGGGTAAGTGTTTTGTACTCAATTTTGGTTATATTTCATGAATCCATCATTATTTTTTGGTATTTAATTGATGATTTCAAAGTGAAATTCGGGGGTTTTGTCTAAAATTTCATAAAGTGAATTTTTGAGTTTTGAATATCGATTCAGAGTCGGATTTGAGTGAAGCTAGTATGGTTGGACTCCTAACTGAATGAGTTGTCGGATTTTATGAGTTTTTCCGTGGTCCGAGGCGTGAGCACGGGTTTGACTTTTTGGTCAATTTTGGAATTTTGATTAAAGATCCGACATTTATTGATTGGGTGTGTTTCTATTGGTATTATTTAATGTATTTGAGTTGCTTTTTGCTAGTTTGAGCCGTTTGGAGGTCGTTACGCGTAGGATGGCATTTTTGGAGCATCGTTTGGCTTGCTGGGTATTGGTTTTTTGTTCGAGGTATGTAACACTTCTAAACTTGGTGCTGAGGTATGAAAACCTGAATTACGTGTTATGTGTCTTGGTGTTGAGGTGACGCACATGCTAGGCGATGGGCGTGTGGGCATACACCGTGTGAATCGTGACTGCGTCATTCCTGTGGTACTGCGTAGTTACCCGATCTTATATGTAACCATAAAATTTCTACGTACTAGAGCTATTGAGCTGTGATCCATGTTAGAAACCATATCGAGGCTACATGGTTATTCTGTTGGGATCCACCGAGGTCGTATTGCTGTTGAATTTTTGTTTAAATTGCAATTTCATACTCAGTCATGTTCATTCATTTCATATCATATCTCAGTCTCTGTTGCTATTTATGGACACATCATATCATCATTTTGGGCTAGTTTCATGGTATTGTGAGCTTGAGAGACTGGAGAGATTGATGACTGAGTGAGGCCGAGGGCTTAAGCTATGAGTGATATGTGTATATATGTGGATCGGGTTGCACGCTGCAATGAGTATCATCGATTTTTGGCATGATTGGCTTGATATAGAGTTTTGGACTGAAGGAGCCCCTTAGGAGTCTGCACACACCCCAGTGAGCGCGGTTGATTTATATTGAGGGTCGGATCTTCCCTGGACATAGATCTTGTCCGATGCATTTATATTTGGGGATGGATCTTCCCCAGGATGCATTAGCGTTATACAGTACTGAATGACTGAGTGTCAGTTGTTATGTATATATTCAGATGGATCTTCCTTGGGTTGGATTGGCCGTATTGAGTACTGAGTGACTCAGCATGTCGAGTGATTAAGCATGATGAGTGGAAAGTGTGAGACTGAGAGATTGGGTACTCTGAGAGTGCGAGTACATGAGTTCATCTCTGAGATACATTGCATTGACATGCACACTTGACATACAGGCATAGAGATACATTTTTCTCGTGTTGTACGGTACCATGTCATTCATGACTTCTCACACATATTGACATGTAGACATAGAGATGTATTTTAGTCTTGCTATTTGGAAAAAGGAAACATCTTACTTACTGTTGAAAGGATTTTTGGGAGAAATCACAGTTTTCAAACTTGCTCATATTTTTGGCGATTTCGATAAAAGATTTGGGTTTACAGTGATACTTGAAAAACAGGCCTATTTTGAAGAACTGTGAACGAGTTGAGTATTTTATCTATGAGTTACTTCTTTTGTTACTTTCATTATGTTATTATAAGCTGTTGTTGGCTATTGGTCTTGGACTCCGACCTTGGTTCCAGCTCGTCACTACTTTCAACCTAAGGTTAGGTTTGTTACTTATTGAGTACATGGGGTCGGTTGTACTCGTACTACACTTCTGCACCTTGCCTGCAGATGTTGGATGCTGATGTTGCTGTGATCGACGGGAGCTAGAATTGAAGACGTACCTGCGTTCTGATTGTAGTTGCCTTTTGTTCATGGTAGCCTTAGATTTATAAAACTTTGTTTATATACATTTCGAACAGATGATGTATTTGT